CACGCTAACATTGTGTTTTCTTGCACAGAAAGCCACTGGAATCACTGAACCGATAAACATCTTTGACACTACTAAAGTATTAATGTTCATAAGCTTTACGCAAGTAGACTGGAAATAGGCAGGGACTAACAGATTGTGTTTTTTTTGTTTTTTGGGGGTTTTTTAAAAAATCCAATTCAGGGAAAGAATAAGGTTGGGGCGTGTAACAGATACCTCAGTGAAATAAGCTGCAACAATAAACTGTTCCCTTTCATTACCTGGCTACAAGGATCAGCCATTCAGACTGTGAAAACTAACCCTCTCCCTAGCCTGGGTATGATACTGGCACTTGGCATGATGCACATTTTGCTTAGATCCAGATATTTCTGCTGAGCTGCCAGGTTTTAGGGACAGGGAATATGTAGAAACCAGCAGCATATTGGGGGTAGGGGAGGAGGAGGAAGACTGAGGGGGTCCAGGATCTCCTCAGCTCCGATCCATATCACTCAGATTGTTGACGATTGTATGGCACTCAGGGGTTTTGATATTGCAGGAAGGACTGTTTCTTGTGTGAAGTGTTCCATTTTGCCGTGTGGCTGATTTTTTTTTCTCTCTGAACACCACACCAGCCAGAGCTTTACAGCAAGCAGCCAAAAGCACCCAGCTGGTACCCAAGGCCACAGTGGTCCGGCAGCAGCTGAATACTCCATTGTTCAGAAGGAAGGTGGGTACAGCCCTGCTGTGTTGGGTTGCAAGCCAGGCCCTCACAGAGAGGGTTACCACCTGCCCTCCAGCTGCAGATACCAGCATGTTCTGGAAGGCAGGAACATGGAGTCCAGCTCAGAAACAGGACTCTTCAAGAAGTTTCATAGAAGTAAGCTGCATGACGAGCCAGCTCCCAGAGCAAATGTGCACGTCACACAGAGTTCTTTGGTTGCTGCGTACGCTCTCCAAATGGATTCAGACTAGAAGACATTTTAACCAAACAGCAGCAGCCTTGCTACTAGTTTTCTTACCTATTTAAAAAAAAAAAAAGAATAAAATGTGATAGCCTAGGCAGTGGATAAATACCTCAGATGTCTCCTTCCAACAAGTGTCTGTATATGTTGTTGTTGGGTTTTTCTATCTTACACATTATCTGAATGTTTATATTCCAATAAACTTCTACCTCTTCACATGATGACCCTGGAAGCATGTTTTGTTTTTTTTATGTACTGCTTTGTTGAATTGAGTGGCCTGACAGTCAGACCTGTCACTCCAGTTTTCCGAATTGGAGTTGGTTCTTTAGAAGCAATTGGAATTTGAAATGGACTTTATGGGCCCCCATCCATGTAACCTTAGAGTTACCAGGCTCCCACTACCGCTGTGTCCAGAGCAGGGGACCAGTACACTATTGTCTGTTGGTACTTCTAGAGTGCTTTTTTTTATTACAGCATTTCCAAGCATTTGGCAGATGTTAAACCTGGAAGCCCTATGAGCCAGATGATTATTTCCATTTTATAGATGGTGAAACCAGCACATTTGTGCCATAAAGCGTCACGTACCTCAGTGAAGGAGCTAGCAAGAGAACTCAAGCTGGTTCTTTGCTCCAACCACTAGATGCACTTGTCCTCTGTGAAAGGCCTCTTGTTACTTCCCAGTAGGAGCTCCAGCACACCTTCAGTGCCAGCACAGTATGAAGGATGTGAGTACTTCACCAGGTATTTTGGTGCAGTTTAAACTCTTAAACAATTAGAAAACTTTGAAATGAGTTTAGTAGTTTTGGCATGAAGTTGCTAGGAATTTCTTCCTGGATGGTCTCCATACCCTGAACTGACACTGAGGAAAATCAGATTATCATGGGACACCTGCTACTGCTATGAAAAGTGCCCTGAAATACTAAAATGGAAGTATGTGTAACTGCTAGTGCCTGTACCAAAAAGCAGTTCTTCCAAGTCCTTTCTCTCTGTTTTTGGATGATGTTCCATAGGCTTTTATTTGGTTCTGATTAGGGTTAGAGTCCATTCGGCAATTCCTTTTTCTTCTCCACTCCTTAGGAAAGACCTCAGGAAAGGGGGATCTCTAAGGCCGAGACTCACAATCTTACTTGGTGTGATAGGTGAGTTTCTGGTATTTGCTTGTGAGTCTGGAGAATGGGTCTTGACAGGAAGTTCAGCTCAGCCAGTTGCATGAGAATGAATTGAGCAGTTTTTAAATAACCTCAATTCATTACAAATAAATATAACGATTTTTGGTCCTTTCTAACTTATTGGGGTAATTACCTGCATTTCAGTCATGATCTTTTCCAAGTAAAATTTAAATAGCCTCAATGCAAAATTTGATTCTTGCCTTTTTTCAGAACTGACCTTTAGAAAACCATAAAATACTGTAATCTTGGGATATCTCATCCATCTCAATGGCAGTTGTCAGGAGTAACTGAAGCGCTAGGGGATCACTGGATTTAAAAAAAAAAAAGTTATGAACCTGCCAAGTATTCTTATATTGGGGCTGGAAGTCTCCTGGATGGCACAGCGCCAAAAAAAAATGCTAATTAGTGACTTGTGAACAGACAATGTGAAAACTAAAATTGAGCTACAGGAGCTGGCTTCCAATTCCTTCATGCTTGGAGCCTGGTTTTGTGGACACAAGAATGTTAAACCCTTAAAATATTACTTCTATTTTACAAAGGAAACCACAGAGTCATTTTTCCTGGGGTTTAAACCAGTTTTGTAGTTGGGTAGAAGCTGGTTTCCATTCCATTCCCATCAGTGGTTCCGAGTCATTGGTCTTGCTCTGGGATTCTCCCAATTTATACCCTTAATAATCAAGATCAAGCATTGTAGTGTATTAGCTAGGTTTTATATAATTGCCCCAGTCTTGGGGGTCAGTGCAGAATTGTTCCTACCATGCAAAAGGAAAACCTCCTCTCCTGCCTAAGGCAATGGAGTAAGTCCACTTTACAAGTGCCTGGCACTAGGGTTTCAGTTCCATTTGGCAGTACTGTTCTACAGCTAAATAGATCTTAGAGTTGGGAAATGTTTCCCCACTGTCCAGCGCAAATGCTCATTTATTCACCTTCTTCCCATTATTCCTGGTTATATCCCTCTCCAAACACCCTGCAGACTTCCTCCTTCTCCTGCGGACCTTGACACTAGAATCCAACTTGGGACGCATGTGCTCCAAAAAGAGCTTTCTGCCTTGCAAACACTGTTCAGTGAAATGGGGTGGGTAGCTCTTTCACTGATTTCCCCCCACCCCTGCCAGCTTTGTGACTTGCAGAAGTACGAACAGCTTTCAGTTCTCATGTGTTACCACTAGATGGATGCAATATCGTGAACCTGCTGTTGAAACACTGCACGAGTTGGATAGGTGTTGGTGAATGTGGGAAATTACAGTGCAGTGGATACAACCATCGTAAAGTGCCTGAAACAAAAAGACCTTTCATTCCCTGGTGGTTGTCAGTGCAACCAATACTGCCATGTTTTACAACAGAGCATAGTCCTAAAAATCCTTAATCTGCCATTGTACAGGGGTATAGGTTGTGGCCCTGTTGATCTAAGGACATAGGCAGACAAGGTTCTTTCGGTAGATAGCTGGAAAAATTCTTTGCTAACTTTTTATACCCAAAAACTTGCAAAGAAGACTTTTTCCAGCTATTTGAGTTGGTCTAATAAAAGATTTACCCAAAGAACCTGATCCACCATTAGTAATATATGTGCTGCCAGAGGTAATATATGTGCTATCCAGGTGTCCCTCCCTGTATGCATAGAAACACCTCTCCTCTCATGTCCCTCCAGGTAGTCTTATTTTATTGCAGCATCTTGCATGGCAATCATTTCATGTTGCACACAGAGTACCTTTCTTGGTTGGAGTGGTAGAAAATTGAACAGGTGCATTGTAAGGTCACTAACTTATTCCTTGTCCCCCTCCTTTTTCATTAAGGCAGGATGAACGGAGCTAATGTGAAAGAGGCCTCTGTGAGTGTTTGGCTGTGACGATGGGATTCATTTTCTGAGCCGAGCTGTCCAATAGTGTTTCTGTTAAACATCTGCAGCTCTAAGTGAAATTACAGTAAATAGCAAGCTATTGAACACTTTGGAATCTGTGAACGGAAGATGCCACATACAGGACAGTCCTCCCACAGCAACCTTGAGGTAGGTCTGCCCTTGGACTCCGACTTGTAAACTCTTCTTCTATGCCGGTTTTTGCATAGAATATCCCTATCATAGTCATTTTAAACCCAAGCTACCCCGACAAGGTCTATGAATGACTTCATTGGGGCCCTCAGCACATGGGGGGGGGGAAAGTTATCCCCATTTTAGAGATGTGAAACTGAGGCCCAGCGGGACTTGAGGGACTTCCTGTCATCACACAGGAAAGCTGTGGTAAAGCAGGGTCTTGCTCTTGTGTGTCATGGGCCAGTTATGGTTTGAAACCCACCTGATGTCTGCAGGGCTCAGCCTGGGACTGAGATGATGCTGGGAGGATCTTTAGTAGTTAGCAGCAGTTAAAGATCTGAGGACTACTGAGGTTCTGGTTCCATCAAGGACCTTTTAGCAGCAGCTAAAGGTGGTAGTAACCACCCTATGCCCGCCCAGGATGATTCTCCAGACTTTATCCGATCTGTTTCCATCCTGCTCCTGCCCTTTCCCACCAAAGGCCTGGCGGACCTGATACAAGCTCCAAAGCATCAGGACACAACATGTTTTAGGCAAGGGGTTCTCTCACCACTGCCAGATGCTCTCCCTGTCTCTCCCCTCCGTGACTTTAGGAACAAAGTCTTGATTGACCACAAGATAAACATGAGCCACCAATGCAATGCCATGGTCGGCAAAGCAAACCAAACTCTGGCATGGCAGGAGAGCTGGACTCAAAAATCTCACAAGGTCCCTTCCAGCCCCTAACGTCTATGAAATCTATGAAACAAGGAGTTGGTCCTTCCCCGGGATAGAGAGGAAGCAGAGTGGAATTTTCCATTGGTTTGCTCAGCTCTGCGAGCCTGGAGTAATTCCTGGCCCCTGTTTATCAGACCGGTGCCTCTCCTCTGCCACCCAACTCACCTGCTCTGCTCTCCGCTCACTGCCTCTCCAGCAATGAGTGGCTGAAAGCACAGTCTTCCCCTCCCCTGCTCCCGCTCTATTTCTCTCCCATTCTCCTCCCCTCCCCTGCACAGTTTTTCTTCACTGGATTTGTTTAGCTGCTTTCAAACTTTCCCATGTCAGCCCTGCCTGCATTGCCCCAGGACTCATCTGTTCTCTCTGCTCACTTCCAAAGCCAGATCAATGAAGCAGGTAAGGCAAATTCAGAAGGACAATAGGCAAAGGGCGCATGTTTTGTCTGGCAGTGGCGCCTCCTTTGAGTGGGGCCAAGGGTGATGGTCACCTTACAGTCAGAAGGAGAAGCCTGGTATGTTGGGAGGCTCCTGGGGGGTGGGCAGAGAAGAGCTTGCTGGAGTTCAAGCCTACTGTTTTGGACAAGGAGTAGTGGCAGAAATGCAAGCTAGCCGGCAGGGTGTAGTTCAGTCATGAGCGAGCGGAGCTTGAGTAGCCTCAAGGGTACAGGGTCAAAAGGATCTGGCTGAAAGATGCTGCTTGTGTCTTTCTCAGAGTTTAGGAGTGGAGCTGATCTCTCCCAGCTGCAGCTGATGTCCCTGGGAGCTGTACTTTGAATGCAGAAAGTGCTATGTGATGCTAAGTGCTAGGAAAAAACAGATCCCAAGGCCTCTTGAATGGACTACCCAAAATTAAGGGAAACTTCTGACCTTAATTTCTGCATGCCTCAGTACCTCTTTTGGGAAGTGGAGGTAAAGTCACTTCCCATCTACCACTGATGTTGCAAAGGTAAATTAATATCTGTGAAGCTCTCCGATACTTCAATGATGTATGCCGTAGTAAAGGCCACAAGGAAATTAATGCCCGTGTCTTTGTAGCAGCAAATAAGGATCCCACAATGAACAATGAGGCTAGGTTAAAGTACTTAATTGCTGTGCATGTAGTGAACGTCATTCATCCAGTAAAATGAATGAGGTGGGGATCTTATAGGGGCTAGTGTCACTGTCAAGACAACTGTAACATATATGCACAAGGGGGCTGAATGATGGCTTTGTAGCATCCTGAATCCTGGCATTTTGGAGCTATTCAAGTGCCTGAATGACTGGCCTTTGTTATTATTGTGTGTCATGTGGATAAGAGATCACTTGGAAGCACAGAGGCATCATAATGCTGCTCTGCATAGGTCTGGTGCAGTACATTGTGTGGTCTTGTACTTGTCCTATGTGCAAAGGATTTAGAAAAGAAGGAAGTAAAACTATGATGCAGGATGCAAGCATGCAGAGCTGTAATGTTCCTGCTTGCATTCAAAATGTGACAGCAACTGATGGAGAGATCCCTCAAGCTAGGCAGATTTAAAGCTTGGGTACCAACAACAGCATAACTGTGGCTTATGGTCTCAGTGCAGTTTGTTGCCCTCATCCTCGAATCTGGGTTAATACTCTAGCACCTAGCATGTGTTGCACTCTGGCTACACTGTTATCAGTGCCCCTTACACCTTTGCTGGTACTTGGTTTAGATGCTCTGAGGAGCCAGAGCCTATGAGAGAGCAAAAGTCTCTGTGATTAAGCCACGTCTGTATTCCTGGTGTACTGGGAAGCATCTATCATGCCTTCCCTCCAAATCTTCAAGGTCACAATGGAAAGGAAAATAGATCTTGGTCATTCTAAACTCCAGGCCCAGGATGTGGAGCTGTACATTAGAATAAGCATATCCTTCTCAAGATAAAGTCTTAATGCACATTACAAACTGTGGATAAGCTTTATTATTCCTGTTCTACAGAAGGGAGGGGAGATCCAGGTGCAGATAAGGCTTTAAGGCTGGCATGCTTTAAAGGGTACTCAGGAATTTAGGTGCTTTTGAAAATCTCAGCATACGTTGCTGGTATAAGGGCACAGAGTCAGAGCTGGAAATAAAGCTGTTTTTTCCCCAGGTTCTTTTCCCCTTGCTTATAACGAGAGCGACTTCTATGGGACAGAGGAACCTTCATAGCAAAGGGTCAAGGGTGGAAGTGAGGCATGCATGGGAATGATGGGGGAAGTTGGGATGAATGATCTAAGCACTCTGAGTTTCATTCTGACCTTAATCTTTCTGAGGACAAGTAGCAACCTGCTCCGCTAGGGTGCATCCAGACAAGTGTGCATGTGCAGTTTGCAGTACCTTGAACCGGTCTGAGGTGTCACAACCTGTATGCAGCGCATATGCAACCATGTGCTGCGCTGCAAATTTGATACCAGGAACTCCTGGTATTAAAAAAAATATTACAGCAAAAAAATGTGGTGCGGCACATGCCAGGGTAACTGGAGGCTGGGTCCTCCAGGGAGATTCTCTGGCCGCTGTCCAGAATGTTTCCCCTCGTCTAGGTCCACCCTAGCTTCTTCAGCACATCAGGAACTGGGAGAAGTAGCAAATGGGCAGTTTGGCCAAGTGGGGCATTTTGCTCCGCACCACAGGGCACATGCAGGGGCATGCGCAGCAGCAAATAGTAGCGGCACAAATTTGTGCTGCTACTTTTTGTACCACTGTAAGCATGTGCCCCTGCATGTGAGGACATGGCCTTAAGGGCTTTGATCTGTGCAGACCTGCCCTCTTTATAAGGGTAAAACTCGCCTTGGAATCAATGGTAGTTGGTAGTGTAGGATCACTGAGATTTTCAGCATTCTGTGACTACCTTCCTCCTCGTGCCTTCCATCACTTTCCTGTTGCAGGAATTCACAGGGCAACAGCATTTCATTGACTACTGTTTTAATGCGCATTTGCTACTTGGGCTTTTGGAAAAGGTCCTCTAAGGGCATTATGGGCTTCCCTATTTAGTAGTGGGTGCTAAGGCACGTGGTTGACAGCCCAGAGTTCACAAGTTTGCAGCCATAGCAGAAGTGCTCATGGTGCAGCCCTGTCACATTGCAACAAATCTGCAAATTTTGCTATGTACCTTGTCAGAAGGACACAGGAAAGGAAATCTTACTTGGAAGGAGGTGAGTTTTCTAGTTGTCAGCTGAGGTTGGAGCATTGCATTTTGGGCTTGACACAGAAACAGTTGTGTGATGGTCTTCAACCTTGGGTTGCCTGATCATGGTAGGTTCCTTCTTGGCTTAAAAGTCTTGCATCTGAGTTGACTTGTTTTTGGACCTGCACAATGTCAACCCCCAAAATTCTGCAGCAGGGCAGTAGTTGACAGTTCTGATGACACACAAATGAACAGAGACTCTGGCTCTGCTACACAGGCTCTACAGGGCTAATGGGAGGAAAATAGGAGCAAGGCACTTGTAGCAGAAAGCCAAACCTGTTGATGAGTAAGGGATGTCTTCAGTGTTGTTCCTTAAGGTAGGTCTTCACAATTTTAATTTGTGTGATTACTCATGGGATTTTGATTTCTCCTCCTTGCTATCCTCTGGTGCGTAGATAGATTTAAAAATGTTTAATGTTCCCTAATCCTTCTGCATTCATTCATCTGCATCTTTAAAAAAAATTCCCTTAAATCCACTCTCATGGGCCTGTTTCCTGCAGCTCATCTTCTCCTCTTTTGTTTTTCTAAGTGCTACCATCTTAAAGCTAATATCAGTTTAATGTTGGCTTTTTTACTGTTCAGTCTCAACTGGATCCCAAACAGCCCTCAGATGTTACTCTCTCAGTATCTGATGCCATTTCCTACCCTGTCACTGTTTCTGGTTGTGAAATGGGTTTAATCCTGCACCTGACCCACAACCACCCTTTTACCTGCTTGCTGTATTCAGTTCCTCTTACCCCACTGCCTTCCTTCCCATTTTATGGGCTCTCAGACTGACTGGTTATAAGTCTCATACCTTAATTTCTTCTTGGAACCAAAATCATCCCTGGAAAAACTGCACTCACACTAGGGTTGAATTTAGTTTTCACTCATGACTCAAACTATATAATGATTGTCTCTACTTTATAATCAAACTATATAATGATTGTCTGGCAGCACCACAGGCTCTATGAAAGGGTGCAAAAGCTGGCTTTGGCTGCAGTGTAATGAATATATGGTAATTAGAATGGACATGCCCTACACTATTGATGCACTTTTTCTAATTCCTCCAATGACAAGGAGATCAGCCCTGATCTCCAGTAAGTTTGTGAGGAAATCATCCCTACTGTATTCTGGCTCTACTAATTTGCTTTCCCAGAGCTTGAAAGCCCAGGGTATTAATAACTGTAGTCTCCACTGCAATGTAATACTATTCGCATCATCAGTTCCCCCTCCTCCCTTCTCCTTCTTAATACAGCCATTCACTGTTCATCCAAGCAGGAACCAGGTCTTCAAAAGTTGCTTGGTTTCCTAACAAATAACAAAAGAGCTAAAGATAGCTAGTGCACATTAAAATGCCTGCATGTTAAAACCTAGGACTTGAAACAGTCTTGCAGCATGAGACGTGGCTTTAATTTTCTCTCCCAACATTCCTGTAGATGCATCTACACAAGATGCTAAATATGTAGTAGACTAATTCTGCTGCGCATTAGCACATCATGGCAAAAGCCGTGCTAATGCACAGTAGAATTAGCCTACTGCAGGGGTTCCCAATCCCTGGGCCGCGGCCCAATGGTGGGCCGTGAAGGGCTGGCTGCCAGACCGGAAGTGACCACAGACTAGCAAACCACAGACTGGAAGTGACCGGCATACTGTGAAACGGCAGTGCCTGCCTGCCCAATGCCGGTCACTGCTGGTCTGCAGTTTGCTTGTCTGTGGTCACTTCCGGTCCACGGTTTGCTGGTCCTCAGCATAAAAAGGTTGGGAACCCCTGGCCTACTGTGCATTTAGTGTCACGAAAATGCCATGTGCTGGTGCTACTGCGCAGTAGTGGCAATTGCTGCACATTGAGTTAGTACCTGTTATTAAAGGTACTAACCTTAATGCGCAGTAACAACAGCACATTAATGCACATGTAGACACACCCTGTATGACCCTTACATTGATTTCAGTGCTCATCCAGACTCTGTGCCGAATAATTCCTCATCCCACCTTTGATCCAAAGTCTGGTAAAGTCAACAGGAGCCTTTCTGTTGACTCCCATTGGGTTTGGATCAAGGCATTTAGCACATATTTACTGTGTCCAGATTTTCTCTTGCAATTTGGACCTTCTGTGGCCAACTTCAGATAATGCCAGCCCTTCCCATGAAGCCAGCCCTTCCCACAAAGCCCAGCTAAGGTTAGAAGCTGGATAACTTATGAAATGTGTAATGGAATAATAGAGTTAGATAGAGCAGGCTGTTTCACAGGCTTGTTT